ATTCAGTTTGAAAAAAAAATTGAAAGAAGTTCACAAAGTCATGTTGCCTATTTGCACACGTCTACGATGCCATGATAGGAGAACACGCATTGTACCAGCTACAATTGTTGAGCAATAAAGTTGATTTTATAATATAAACGGGTATATATAAAAAGTTATTCAAAGAAGTCGCCAATATTTCCCCAAGTTTTTCATATCTCAACCAACAACAAAAGACTATATTATTGCTAAAGTCTCCCAACCCATTTATTTTTCAAAGAGTCGGACAATTCATCTCCCACTGCCTCCTGAGAAGAAGTCAAACCCCCTAATAGCGTGGCAAGAATAGTTTAATAGAATAGAATAGATTAGAATAGCAGTTACTTTGTTCCTATTACCTGGTCACATATTGTATATATACGTTTTACCCTGTATGTATTCCAACGTTATTAGGTTTAAGTAGAGATAGTAGGTTCGATAAGTATATCGTACACGTAGAAGTTGTTAGCAAATAGTCTTATATCGCCACAATGTTCTTGTTAATGCATGTCTGTATGCAATTAGCCCTCGGGCATGAATTTGCGATAAACATCATACATATATTTCAGTGCATGCAAAGTTCACAGCCCTTACAGAGGCAACTGTTATGTCTTCTAACTTTTGTTAGAAGGGGTGAAGAGTTACATGTAGCAATGGTTGATATATATCTTACAAACGTTGACATTGTGTTTCGTGACTGAATACAACTCTGACCCCTACATCAACAATGTGCTCGGCTGTTACCCGGCCTGGGGTGTACGTGATGTGGCGAACTTGGCTTTCTCAGCCGGGGCTACATGGCAGAATAGTTTTGGCTTTGCCAACTGTCCCAACAGCAACTGCCTACGTGGGATATACGAGAGTCGTGTCAGTCTGCACAACACAGCAGCAGCCTTTCGCCAAGACGGGAGCGGAAGCAGGATTGTGTTCACCGTGTGCACAGTCTCATGATCAGCAGGTAAAGCCACACCTCCTTAATTTTATGGATGACATCCTCTGAAGACCCCCAAACTAGTGCGCGCGGGCGAATAAAATAAAAATCCGGCCAAAAATAATGCTAAATGCTACTAAACCAAAGCTGGTATTGTGAATTTGCGGCAGAACTGCGGCAGAACATAGCGACGTATACGACAAGCCGGCACATGCTGTTTTCTTTCGGATTTATGAATAGACACTGTACGTATGTACTGAAGTCTTGAGTCGTGGAGCTTTGTTAGCCTGGGTGTCATCCTCCAGCGTTACCACCGGATCCGTACTGTCGCTATCTAGCAAGCTACCATGGACTATCCAGGCCAGAGCCTCGGATGACGTGATCCTTTTTTTGAGAAAAGACGAAAATCAATGCGCGCGCTGATGTCATCCATAAAATTAAGTCGGTGTAGCCTAAGTATTATTTAGTATTTGGTATTCCGGCACTATTAACACAGAGACCATGCGCATCCAGAGTGATGCGCCCAATAAATGAAGACGACTGGCCAAAACACAAAATCGCAGGAAAAAAACATAACACAAAGAATAGGAAGGAAGGCTACAGTTACGACTAGTTCTTCCCGGATAAGCATCACGGACTGTAGTAGTACAGAGCCAGGGCGACGGAGCGCAACTCACGTATCAATAAACCAGATCTTACACCAGGTGGGCACATTAGCTGTATGAAGAACGTGTACAAAATGGAGAATTTTAGCCACAGTACCGGTTAACATTCATAACCTGTGGATTTTTGCTTCAGTCAACTGCTAGATTGTAGTCACTAAAGAAGTAAAAAAAGAGAGGGAGAAGTAAACAAATAAGGCGTAGCTAGGTGACACAGTGCCTTTTGTCCCTTTGTTTATCAACTGGGTGAAAGCAACAGTCACATGTAGGTCTCTTAAATATCCTAACTGGGGGTGTGATGTTAAAAATCTAATTTCATACTAAAAGGATGAAGTTTATTATGTACGCAATGCATGCCAAAAGGATTTGTTTATAAAAGTTCATTTTATACTAGGCAGCTTGAAGTTCCAGTAATAACAGCAAGTCTGTATTAGAGAATATTTTTCTACCCATTGTTGCAATGGTTCCACCCTAACGACATAGCTATCTATATTTACGATGTACCTTGTAAAATTCTATCAGTCGGTGACAGCCACGTTTCTTGGGCGTGTGGGCATCTTTGTACTGAAAAAATACCGAAGGAAAGAAAGAGGTATTTGTATCTGCGTAAACTGTCTGTGCAAACGTACTCAAAAAGTGTGCAGTCTACATTGAGACAAGCATCGCCTCCCCATTTGTTGGGGAGGGCGCGGGTGGCTTGCAGCATACTCCATACTTCTACTGGACTAGTTCCGACCGAAAAAGCCGAGGAAAATGCCCGCTTTGCATCTTTTCTGTGCAATCGCAGCTTGCCTCATGACCACCGGCCGCGGAGAAGGTAAGGTAATTTATAAACAAACGCGAGCGTCCAAAAACAGGCACATACACCGAATTATGTCGTTGGCGCAACAACCAAGAGTTTTTTACTTAACCTGTTCTGTACATTCTAGCTGTACAAATATTTTTGCTGTCACGCTTTGGGTGTGATACGTGTGGTCAATATTTAACTGATGTATCATGTAGCTTTTAAATAGAAAATACCACATGCTTAAGTCTATATGACACTTGCATGCCGTAGGTGCCAGATACCAAACCCGTTAAAATCGAATGTTGACTTGTACTCGGCCATACTGAGGCAAACTGTGACAAAGCTTGGCTGTGCGATATTGCTACATGTAGGTGTCAGCGTGATGAAATACCCATACCATACAACTTAGGTTTGGAATTAAAAGTTTGCAAACAGGTAATTCTTATCAAATTGCTTTTGAATTCCTTTACCAGGTCATGGCTACGTCTTCGAGCAATGCCAAGATGAATAAAGAAATAAATAGAAAATAAACGTCAAAGTTATGGAAATATGTAAGGTAATATCCAAGGTGATATCGTGCCCATCTTTTCATGAACCGTCAGAGTTGCAGGAAATGTTTGAGAAAAAACGATACAAGAGTCACAGGAGAACCAAAACAAGAATAAAGACATGGATGGAAGAAGAAAATAGGATAGCAGAATTGCAGGGTAACAAAAAACGGGTGTGACATATCTCTAGTGATTTCATATAGCACCATCTTATTAGTGAGCTTATTTTTTTTTCAAAATTGAAAAAAAGGTGTAGGGTCTAAATATCCCTTTCCCCGAAAATGCCACTGTATATGACGTTTACGGCAAGACCAATCTTTGAATGTTGTGGTGGTGACCTGGTTACCAAAAAGTTACGAGCAGTCATTATATGATAAATAATTCAAAGGGTATTGTTCGGTGCCGGCCACACAATAAACAGTCCATTGTCAAGGAGCCACATTAAATGCGCGCCACAATGGAATGGAGGGACATAAAACTGCTGTTTTCTACGCATCTATGCACATGAGTTGTTGTGTTCAATACATGTACATCATGACATCACTGGCCATTTCTAGTGACCTGGGATGCACTCAGGATAGATGGCTGGCGGGTAAAGGCTTGGTCACAACCCGCCGTACGTGCTTCTGTGTGCTGTCTACGTGCAAAAACGTGGCCACGGGAAGAAATCACATGAGTGAAGGCCCCCTAGCAGGTTATTGTGGGACTGTTTAAAAGTCTTCAAGAGAAGATAACTATAAAAAACGGTTGACGGATCGCGGTAATTTTTGGTAAGTAAGTACCTTAAGTGATGCTTGACATATAATTCAATTAAGGGTTAATGACCCGCCCCGATGGTGTGATAAAGCCTTGTCAGTTGCTATAACCACCGAATAAAGCCACTGAGTGAGCGCAGCGAACGAGGTGGCTTTATGACGTGGTTATAGCAACTGACAAGGATTTATCACACCATATTCACCGAGAAAGTTCTGGCCATTAACGCTATTATCATATAGCCCATCAAAACCTACACAGTAAAAAGTGACACGTACGTATCTGTACAACACATACAAACTTAAATAAAACATTTTGTTCCATCTGGAGTCGCCTGAGGTCGCTGGTGGAGGGCGTGTTCTATCTGGGTCAAAGGCAGGGAACAGGTGTTCTTAGGGGAGTCACCCGAGGTCATTGAAACACAACTCAAGTTATTTTGGGATATTTTGTAACAAAGCGTTGTTCTTTTTGGGTCACCTGAGGTCATATGCGGGTGATTATTGAGTTGTTTAATGTATGGATTTTGATGAATAAATACCCGGTTTGGACTCTATTTGTGACATTACGGCGACATAAGGAATGTGGAATGGAGCCTTCTGATTGGTCAAAGTCACCCGGCAATATGATACTTACATTATAATGCAAATCAGGATCTTATTTGCATAATTAATGGAGAAATTCTATAAATCTGTCGTGTTCAATATTAGGGCTATGAAACACTTGTGACGTATGTAAAGTGCATGATTAATGTGAAATTGCTACAATTTTATGTGGTATTACTGTTGAGAATTTAAATCTTGACCTCATTCGCATAATTTCTGAGTTGTAAGGAAATGCTAGAATAGCCTTATTTCTTAACCCTATGTAGACGGGGGGGGGTGGCTAGGACGGGGGGGGCTAAAAGTGCCCGCGCCAACTTTGATGTCGCATAGCGTCTGAACAGCCAGCGCTAGAACGGCCAAACTTGGTGACTTTTCCTAGAATATAGTTGGCAACAATTCTATTTCAATGGAATAAGATAATAATTTTTTGTGTTGCCATGGCATCTTTTGCTAAATCTAGTAATTTTCGTTTCAACAATAGAATTTTATGGGTTTTATGTCAAGTTACACATGGTTTCTAATATAAGTAACATCCCATATAAATTTATGAAAATTTTATCATTAAAATGCATAATTTATGCTAATTTCATGACGTCATTGGCCAAAATCTAAGATGGCGGACCATATCATTAGAACAGGTATATACGGGTTATTTTCCTTAAAATTTCATCAATACTTCCATGTCCTTTTACAAAAAATGTTCATATGAACGTCTTTAGCCTGTTTACAATGTATTTTAGGCTTTACCCAAAAAAACAAATTTGAAAATTCAAGATTGATGATCCAAGATGGCGGAAAGCTAAAATATGCATGACGTCATTTTATGACGTCACCGGTGTTGCTGTCGGCAACATAAGACTTACTACACCCTAATATTCTGTCATAAACACTTCTGGTAAAGTAATGTTGTATAAAATTATGCTTTCAGGGAATAACCTATCTAGACGGTTTTGGGCAATAAAATCACATCAATGACGTCATAATGACGTCATATTACGTCATAACGATTATATAATTATAGTTATGATAAATGTTAACTAGTACACCATCCTCTGAAAAGTTGGTGGTCATACAACATACCGTTCGCGAGTTCTGAGGGGGGGTCGAATAAGCCTCCTCCCCCGTCCCACAATCCCAAAAAAGTCCGGTCTAGATAGGGTCAAGGTTCCGGGTCGGAGTTCAAATCTGACCGGGGTTCGAAATAGTGGGCAGTAAATCGCCGGACCTGTGTGGTTGTCAGGCTAGGCTTGGGTCCTCATTGCTTGGCGATCGTTATAGATTTTCAAATTGTAGTGTGTGTAGACTTTTTTAAAAATATTTTTTCTCACAGGATGTAGTGAGCTATTTCAGCATATAAGCCGTCACCCTGGGAAAATACGTTGTTCCAGGCAGCTCCGATGAAAAAAGTGTTTACAAATGATGTTTTTCTGCATGTGCAGTGTGTGTCTGAGCTCAGGTAGCCTAAATGCCAGACCCACAGCAAAATGGTCATACTATACTGGAAATTTGTGGATGATCTGAACATGGTTGAAAGCAGATCAGTCAAAGCACAGTCAAACCTACAACAAGATCTAAATGCCCTCGATCTATGGTCTAGTACAAACCACATGAAACTACACCCAAACAAATGCAAGGTGATGCATATCGTTTTCAGAAGAACACCTCCCCCACTCCCCCCACTTCAGTTAGCGGGCCACGTCCTTCAAGAAGTCACTGCAGCCAAGTTATTGGGAGTCTGGGTACAGAGGGACCTAAAGTGGGACAGTCATGTTACCCACATGGTGAAACAGAGCAGTAAACGGTTATTCATCCTACGACGGTTAAAGAAGTTCAAGATCCCCGAGACAGATCTTGTCACCGTTTATACATGTTACGTGCGCCCCTTGTGCGAGTACGCTGTACCGGTATGGAACCCTGGTCTCACCAAACTCCAGTCAACCCGTCTAGAGACAGTTCAACGCCGCGCATGCCGCACCATTCTGGGCAAGAAGTACACCTGTTACTCTGAAGCACTTACAGTCCTCGGCCTGTCTACCCTTGAAACAAGGAGAGAACTGCTGTGTACGAAGTTCGGACTCAGTCTACTGAACTCTGCTTCCTTCAGACATTGGCTCCCTCCATCTCGGGGCGAAGTCAGCGGGCGGAAAACCCGAACTAGTCACAAACTGAACTGTATTGTTGCAAAGACTCAGCGCTACTGCAACAGTTCCATCCCATATATTGTTAGCCTACTAAATAAGTAATCGAGCGTACTCGGTTACGACCTTCCAGTCATTGAGGGGTAATTAACTGTCATGCCTTAATAACACGTTTTGTTTAGTAGCCTTTTTTATGACCACTGTTTTACCTCGAATTCGTAATCTTAATATGTATTTTATCCAGCAATGTAAACTTATTAACATTTATAACTCTAATAGATTTTACCATATGTGTATATGTTTGTAATAGATGTTGTTCGATTTTAAAGCTTTTAATGGGTTGTAATTGTAAGTAACAGTGCAATTCAGAACCCCTGGGTTCTGCAAAACTGTTTTACGTCGTTATCAATAAACCAGTCATTATATACAAGGCTGCTAAAGATATTACCCCTACAGTCCCAGGTCTTAATGTGGACTTAAACAGGGAGCATGGCAACGGTGACCAAGCATACAATAGCCTCTTTCAGGAGAGCTCTCTGAGCATGGGAACAGTTTGACAGCCCTTGCAGTCTACAGTAAGAGCATGGGCGGAGCAGTTGGTCACAGTTGTTAAGGCATGCTCCCTGACTAAGACCACCATAAGACCACGGGACTTACTTTAGGAGTCAGGAGGACCATGGTCCATGCTAAGTCCTTCATAAGACCAAGGTTCGCAATAATATAAAAACAAAAAAAACCAGTAAAATGCAGCATGGAGCTTGTGTGAACAGCAGACATTTGCCAACTGTACTTGGTGGGTTTTACTTTCAAAACTCTAGAAAGCATATGGGGGCAAATAGTTGTATGAATATGGATTAAAAAATTAATGAGATTTGGATAGTTGTGGCTGGTTTTCATTTGACAACAAGGGACAACAGTTGCAGATAGTTGCCTTACTAACAACCTACCCCATCGGCAATATTTGGTCAAAAATTGTTTGTACTGACTAAAGTTCTATTTTCTTACCAGGAATCCATGCCTTTGAGGTCCTCAGTACTGCAAACCAGACGTATAGAGGAGTCGACTTCTTCGCCATCAAAGCGATGTTGCCAGCTGACGGCCTGTCTGCCTCTTCGGACTGGTGCAAGGACTACCAGAATTTATGCGCACATTACGGACTGAGGCCCACGGGCTGTGGGAGACGCACGGTCCCCAACGAACTCCGGTAGGATGTGTGACATTCAGAACAGTCAGTGTGCACACTGGTAGTAATCCTGTCTTGTGATCTGGGCTGAAGTACAGGAATTTAAGTCAGGAGTATGCATAAGTAATGAAAAAAGTCAGTCTCGTATATATACATACATTTTACAATTACATAACTAAGTTGTTCTGATATTACATTTTAATGACAATATCAAATTAATACACTTTTCGTATTTGTAATATATTGAAAATTTTATACTGTAATTTACATTGTTATACAGTACCTATCAAAATTATGTATGTTCTACTAAATCATGAAATTCTCATCTACTCTACTAATCTACTCTCATCTACTAATTCTCATTCTCATCTGTATAACTTTGAAATTTGAGATCATGATGCCATTTAGAACTAGAGGTCGGAGAACGTTTTTTAATACTAGAAATCAATTTGGTCTAGAGTACAAAAGAATCTCTGTACTTCGTTTTTTTCCTTTCTTTATTCTACGGAACACCCCAAAAGGGTTTGCCACAGATTTACAGACGCACTGTCACCGTTTTAGGCCTCCCTAAGTTATTTGATTTTGGACTGTTACTGGAAAAAAATTAACTGTTATCAAAATTCTGCTTAGTGTAATACATGTATGATCAAAGTGTCACGACAGTGTCGCAAAATGTAATAAGAGAGGATGTAATGAAAGGAAAGAATCAGAACAGGGCGAGATTTATTGCTGTTTTCGTTTGTTGTTACACTTTGTTCTTTTATTCAATTTGTGTCCTAACCTTTGTATTTCCACAGTTAGTATATTCCAAATCTATGCATCTTAATCAGTTTTTTTTGCCCTTCATGTATTTTGTCGCGCTTTTGCAATAAATTTAAGGTCTCCAGTGGACGTCATCCATGGAAATTACTAGACCCGGCTTTACAATTTAGGGAATGACCTGAAGCATGTCCAGGTTTTCCTCCCCTGCAGCCACAGTCCTCTTATCCTTTTTTATAAGAGTTAGCAATGGTTGATATATCTTACAAATGTTGTTGTGTTTCCAGGTGTGTGACTGAGTACAACTCCGACACCTACACCAACAACGTGCTCGGCTGTTTCCCGGTGTATGTACGTGAGGTGGCGAACTTGGCTTTCTCAGACGGGTTGTTTTATATACAGTATAGGGATTTCGGCTTTGGCTACTGTAACGCCAGTGACTGCAAACGTGAGATACACGAGAGTCAGAGGAGTCTGTACTGGATAAATTTAGCACGACATGGCAGGACTGTATACACCGTGTGTGGCTCAGCAGGTAAGTATTATTGAGTAGACACCAACTATTTGCTTCACATTGACATAAACCTGGGGATTGCATACATTTTGAAAACCCAAACCATTTGCCATTCACTTCATTATAATTTGCATGGCATAATTACATCAGCTATTATGAAATGCCAGTAAAGATGATATTGGAGTAAAATATACATGTCAAGAAATATATGTAATTGTTACTGTCCATTGTTATTCATTTCTATTATCACCCCTGTACCCTCCATTGTCATACCGTCTTTTTCTTTTCTCACTTTCATTTGGCCAGGTGAGAACCCCCGATCACTCAGTGATGATTATGTGAAAAGAAGTCCTTTGTTCCTTTTTTGTGCTCTTAATTGGAGCCGTGGTGTTTGAGCTTTGGCAAGTTTTTCCCCAAAACAGAAGTAGACAGTATGAAAGCGAAATGTACAGTCATGTAACTAAAGCTAAATATGTTTGGAGACTTATCCCTGTTTGTTGTGAGTTTGTAAATGTGACTAAAAGATTGGAAAGGCCGACATTTGCTCAGGAGGAAATGCAGCATGGCTTCACCACATCCCCCTACCAAAAATGGACCTACCCCCCTCCCACACAAATTCATTCGTTTATTCGTTTATTTCGATACCCTTTAGTCCATGACTAATCATCCAGGGTTCAAAACAAAAACATTGATTTTCAAGATTAAAAAAAGTTTACCCCCCAAAATGCAGGAAAGAGTGACAAACCTACTAAAAACAATTGAATGCAGTTCACCTGACAGGTGCCCAATGAGTTTATCCAATTAAACCCAACACCCAGTCAGCAACAACATTACAACTGCGCAACGATCTCGAAAGCTGCACGCCTATTGACTGTTGCTGCGCATTCCTTTCTGATGACTCATCCTTCAGTATACAGTAACTTCTGCATACTTCACTATTTGGCATTGAATACAGTCAAACGTCCCAAATTATACAATTTTAAAGGGATGCATGGCAAAATTTATAATTAATTGTTGTTTGTAGATATATAAGAGATGCCCATGCCAAATTTCAGGTGATTTGGGTGTAATACTAGGTCTCCCGGACCCCAAATGTACAGATTTTGTCAGAAAATGGCCAAAACCACAAATAAAACAATTCCAAAAGTCTGTATAAAAAGTCTGGGGGTATTTGCCCACTCTACCCCCATGCCAAATTTTAGGCTGAAAATTGGCAGAGTTGAATCATTTTAGAGAACACAATATGTTTCACCAGACCATTTCGTGGTGTGGTGAAGCCATAATTAAAATATGGTACATGTATGGTACATGTAATACTGCAACATTGCTAAAAATATGAATTTAATTCTAACTGCACGTGGCAATTTCAGGTTTGCAGTATTTTGACACTTTTACTTCAAGCTTTCCAAAGTAGCTGCAGTCTACATCTCTTCTGGATGTTAGTGGCTTGAGTCTCAAGAGGTCTTGCAAAGTCGACTACACTATTATATATATAT